TACTTATTTCGATCAATAAACAACTCAGCGTACGTGTAAAATTAAAAGTTATGGTGAAAAATTATGTGACTAAACCAATCTAAATACGTGAATTATGAGCCATGTAACTAGTATGCACGTATCAGCTTACGTGGAATGTCAACTAAGGATGTTTTCTTTTGGACTGTTTTCAGTCCCAGACCAGACCAGACCAGACCAGACTTAAACAGACCAGACCAGACCAGACCAGACTTAAACAGACCAGACCAGACCAGACTTAAACAGACCAGACCAGACCAGACCAGACTTCCGTAGTTATAAAATACACAGAGACCAGACGTTTACCAGACCAGACCAGACCAGTTCAGACCAGACCAGACCAGACCAGACTTAAACAGACCAGACCAGACCAGACTTAAACAGACCAGACCAGACCAGACCAGACCATCAAATTTCAGTCCAAAAGAAAACATCCTAAATGTTTGTGCAATTCAACTAATATTGGGATAGAGGGAGTATCTAGAATTTCATTTTGGGACAACCAAATAATGAAAATAATTTTTTTCACAACGGACACACACAAAGTTATTACCAAAATTAGGATTGACACGAGTCTAGGTTGTCCCAACAAATAAAACCCAAGATGCATGCAATGTGTTTTTTTTTTTGTTTTTTTTTTTGTTTTGGTAAACCCTAATACCTCCCAAAAGTGGAGTTCGAGAATCTCACGACAGAGCAACTCGTCATCGTCACTGGAAGATCCATAACTTTTCCCTAGCACCGGCATCGAGCGCAGATGGATATGGCCTGCAGGGGCGGAGCCAGGACACTAGGCCGGACTGGGCCGGTACAAAGAATATTTTTGGAAAAAAATTCACACGGAAGTTTTTACACTAAAAATATAGAGATTTTTAAAATTTGGGCTGGGTCAGGGCCAGGGGTGGCCACCCCCTAGCTCCGCCCCTGGATATGGGTCGGGTCACGTCAGATTTTTGTCACATTAGTTCATGTGTGTTCGAATTCAAGAATTTTGGTGGAAGCATTGTCAACCAAATTAAACTTAGATTCATGTTGTATATAGATAGTATATTCTGGTTCTCACAGTCAAGTTTTTATCTCGTTGGGATAATTAATTAGCATAAATGTGTAGATTTTTTGGACAAAAACTGTAATACCCCAAGAAGATCTCAAAAGGATTAAAAAGTATCAATCATACTAACAAGGAGAACATTATCTTAATGAGCTCATCTATTGAGAAAAGCCCCCCCATTCAAGTCTCTCAAGGCGTACATGAGTGAAGGCGAAGTGTGCATTAAAGACTTGTGTTGATTCTCAGTCAAGTTTTTATCTCGTTGGGATAATTAATTAGCATAAATGTGTAGATTTTTTAGACAAAAACTGCAGGGAAAAGCACGGAAAAGATACTTGTGGTTGGGCCCGTTTTCAGATAGGGTCATGTGTTTCATTCTTTATCAATGTGGTTCTTGTGTTTGAATTCCGTTATCACAAGAGGGTCACGCCGGTAAAAACATCTGAAAAAGACCGTTAAAAGTAACTCCGATTTTCAAAAGTGTCCGGAAAATTAAAAGAAAATACCGAAAGGTGCGCCTCGTCAAGATGACCTCCAAACCACCTTCGCCTTTGGATTTTTCAGATCTGTTTGAATTGTTTTTTTTAAAATGATTTCGCTAATATCACTTTTCTGGTGGACTTTCCGGTGACAAGGGTTTTGAAAACAAAAAAGAAAGATGGCCTAGCGGTCGTCTTATTGAGGCGCACCTTCCGGTATATTTCATTTAATTTTACGAGCACTTTTGAAAATCGGAGTTACTTTTAATGGTCCTTTTCAGATGTTTTTAACGGCGTGACCCTCTTGTGATAACGGAATTCAAACACATGAACCACTTTGATAAAGACTGAAACACATGGCCCTATCTGAAAACGGGTCTAACCACAAGTACCTTTTCCGTACTTTCCCCCAAAACTGTAATACCCCAAGAAGATCTCAAAAGGACTAAAAAGTATCAATCATACTAACAAGGAGAACATTATCTTAATGAGCTCATCTATTGAGAAAAGACCCCCCCCCAAAGTCTCTCAAGGCGTACATTGGTGAAGGCGAAGTGTGTATTAAAGACTTGTGTTGGTTTGTAAAGATAATACTGAGTTTGGAGTGCATTCGGGAGTAATGACCTTCGAGCCTACGGGATAGCCAGATAAGGGTGTTACAATTGTGATTGTAATGTTCCAAAAAATCTCATAAAGATTAAAAAATACTACTCATATCAATGACAATACGGCACATACACTTTCTTTTGAAGAACTCATCTACTCCATTTAAACATGACAAGGGTATTAAGGATTCTGCATTTAAACATGCTTGTGCGAGAGTAGATTTATGGTGGGTGACCGGTGACTTCACAACATGTATGATAAAAGTTTTTGTTGATTTGGGAGTACTGAGTACTACTTTAAAATCCTTACGATATTTTCTTGGAGCATTACAATCACAACTTTTAACTAGTTTGGACCATGCGAACTCTCGGTGTTAACAAAAATAGAACCACGATATAACTCAAATAGAACCACGATATAACTCAATAATAGCATCTCATGTATAAATGCACTATAATTATAGGGGTCTTTGCATCTTTTCTAATCCGTGATAAGAATACTACTTTTGACCTTATCTAGCCCCATACATGTTATGCAATAAATTAACTCATTTGAAATATATGGAGTAATACATACTCCTTAAATTTAAATGAAGTTTAGTTCACATTGATGGAGTATATTTTACAAATTTACAGTATACGTCAGGAAGTATATACTCTACTAAAGCAACTCTAGACGAGCCGAGCACGCCTGAGACTAAGCTCAAAACCGGTTATCAAATCATTGAGGAACAAGATAGGTCCAAAACTACAGCCGAGTTCGACCGTGGTCGAGGTCGGTGATGATTCCAACACCACGAATGAGCTCCAAGCCAACTACCGCATTACAAGCTCAAAGATCAATAAAGATATTCCTACTTCACATTATGAGCCGAGGTCTAGGGGTGTGATTGGATCGGGCTGGGTTGGGTTTTGGTTAGGAACGTAAAAAACCCGAAAATCTTCGGGTTCTACATGTTTTGGCCCGATTGAAGGACCAATAATTTCGGGCTGGTCCGGGTTTTAAGAGCTCGGGTTTGGGTTGGGTTCGGGTAAGGTCGGGTTGAACCCGGAAAAACTCAAACTGAGATGTCTAAAAAAATTAAAATACACTGACAACAAACTTTGCAAATATCTAAGCTTCTAATCAAATACAAGTAACATATATCAAAATAAAAAAAAGAATAACTTGATTCTAAAATAGAAATTGCTTCAAGTTTGACTAAAACATAGACAAAATGTACAAATGGAACTACATGTGTTTTATTCCCAAAATAGGACTTAGTTGGTCCTATTAAAAGTATAAAACTTTCCCATTTAGGAGTAAGAGAGTCATATGCTAGGGGAAAATAATAATAATCCTATTTATGCATTTCGTCTAAGTCTTATGCACTTTCTGAATCTAAAAATCACAAGAAAAAAATGTTGTAGAAGAACGATCGTTTCAAAAGCAAAATAATAAAATTGTTTGATTTACGAAATATAAAAAAGTGGCCTTGAGCTTGATCATTGTACTCCTTCTAGCTTGATCATAGTCCATATGTATTAGGGAGTATATATAAAAATACACATTTTTTAGTTTCTTAATTAAATCTGGTTTTTTTAGTTCGGGTCCGGCTTAGAATTTTAGAACCTGAATAAAGACCCAATTTTTCGGGCTTGGGTTGGGTATTTTTACTCGGACCAGTCATTTTTAAAATAAAACCTGGACCATTTTCATTTATCGGGTTGGGACGGTCCAGTTATCGCGTTTTGGATCGATTTTTTGCACCCCTACCGAGGTCTCACACCTCTTAGCTAATGCGCTACATCCGAGCTTGAGATCTACGATCGAGCTCAAGACCTCATATAGAGATCATGGAATCAGACGCTTTAGCACCAAGATATCACAACATTCATGATAATATCACTATATGACATCTGTCCAGGGCTGATGTCATACAATTCGATTACACATGCTAGTTGTCAGACTTACATGTGTGGCTTATCTGGCCGTTCCAGTATGCAAGTACAAAAACCGATAAGGCACACCTATTCCATACTTCGTAGTATGCAGCAAGTCATGGGGCAACATTACTTGTTGCGAGTCACAAGCGGGGCGAGTCCATATAATAGAGGTTGACAAAATTATCGAACCAGCATTGTAACGAACTGGAAAAAGGGTTTCAAATACATCTCTAAATTGTTATGCCCAAATCTTATCGTATCGGTTTCGAACCATACCATGACCGATTCTCATTTTACGAGAACCGAACTGGACCGAAGTATAGGTTGAACAAATACATGTGTATAGGTTTCAAATACATCTCTAAAATTCTCATTTTAGCTTTGTTATTTATTACTCCAGTTTAATATGGAGTAATTAATTTTACTCTACGGAGTACCTAATACCGTAAGTCCCCTATTCGAGCAAATATCAATTTTATATGTCCCTAATACAGAGTTTGCAATTGCAGTGTTGAGTGTGTTAGGTTAAATGTCATCACTCCTGATTTATGTATTGTACTACTAGAGTTATCACAAATTTGGTAATTATGCAATATGAAAATTGATAAATGGTGTGAAGCTTTGAAGTATAACTAAACTTTAATTTCCTCATAAATAAGGAAAAAATGAAATTGTTTGGCAGTAGTATGATATTGTACCTTATAGTTTGAAAATGGAACAATACCGATCAAGTTTAAGTATAAGACTCAATCAAACCATTTCAATAATCACCAATTCGATTATGGCAAATTATTGGATTGTCCCATACGGTGCTCACCCTACCATGTAAAAGCCTCTATTTGAGTTTTGCACTACTCACCCGACCCTATAAATGACCCTCCCTACAAACGTGAGCCCTCCCTTCCTCTCCCTCCTAAAACACTGAATTCTACTGTACTAAACATTACCAGTTCCATCGAGATGAAACCAGACGGAGATGAATGCCCGCATTGCTGGTCCCGATCCTCTACCGTGCCCATTCATCAACGCCGCCGTCGACCACCACATCCTATCATCAATCCGGTGGCGCTTATCCTACTCATTCCAATCGTTGCACTTCTGGTCATATTCTTCCTGCTTCCCCCCTTTCTGTCCCATACACAAAACCTTCTTAGGCCCAATTCCGTAAAGAAGAGCTGGGATTCGCTTAATGTATTGCTGGTGATTTTTGCTATTATTTGTGGCGTTTTTGCTAGAAGAAAGGATGACGTATCGGCGGCCGTTGAGAGGGACGTTTCCCCGGCTCCATATTCCCGTCGGAGAGTTTACGATACCAGTCGGACTGGAGTACCGGAGACTGGCCGGCTGCTGAGGACCAGCTCGTATCCAGATCTGAGGCAAGTGCCGGCTACGGAAACTGACGAGAACCGGTACCGGTTTTACGATGATTTTGAGGTGAATCGGTATGGATCGAAGGCGGCGGAGTTTGATCGCCACCGTCCACGTCGGAGTGAAATGGAGACAGAGGCGAATGATATCAAAGTGATTCCTGAAGATACAGATGGAATTCGGAATCCTCCGCCTCCGCTTGCCTCCCCATCGACGCCGGCGCCACCTCCATTGCCGCAACAGCCGTCATCATCGCGGACAAAGTTAAATCGGAGAAGATCCTTACATAGTGTTCCGCGGAAGGAAAATGTTGAAAGGCAGAGTAATGTAAGAGCATCGGAGTTTGTTGACTGGCGGTCCCCACCACCACCACCGCCACCGCCGGCTGCGACCGCGCATTCTTCGTTAAGATCAATGGAAGACACCCCGAAACTTCAGAGGAAGAAGAGCGGAACGAAGAAGGAAATCACCACAGCTATAGCTTCCCTATACAATCAGACGAAAAGGAAGAGGAGAACGAAACCTAGAAGCGAGAGCACATCTGATCACTCACCGCCGTCTGATTCTCCTCTGCAACCACAAACCCCTCCTCCACCTCCGCCTCCCCCGCCATCTAAGGGATTCCAAAACCCCTTCAAAAAAAGTAGCAAAAGTAAACGCGTGCATTCTGATTCTCCCATGGCTGTGCCGTCGCAACCTCCTGTTCCGCCGCCGCTGCCACCAAATTCAATTTTCAACAATTTTTTCAAAACAAGCAGCACAAGCAAACGGTGCAATCAATCACCATTAACTACTCCTCCACCTCCTCCGCCCCCGCCACCACATTCTTCTCTAATGAAAAATGGAAATCAAAGCAGACGAGCCAAACCTGTAAGCCGAACATCTGCAACTCCTCCGCCTCCACCGCCTCGTCCACCGCCATCAAATTCTTCATCAAGTCGCAAAAAACCATCCGTAGCCGTAAAACCGCCAATGTCAGATACGACAACGATAAACCACACCGATGATAATTTGAATAGCGGCGGGCAGTCTCCACTAATACCAATGCCTCCACCGCCACCTCCGCCGCCGTTTAGAATGAGGGAAATGAAATTCGTCGCTCGCGGGGACTTTGTTCGGATCCGGAGTGGCCACAGCTCTTGGTGTAGTTCACCGGAGATTGAAGACTGCGATTTGATGTCAATGAAATCGGAGCAAACCGATGGGGAGGATGTGATTGGGCCAGCAGTGTATTGCCCGAGCCCGGATGTTAATTCGAAAGCGGAAAGCTTTATTGCTCGGCTCAGAGATGAATGGCGGTTGGAGAAGATGAATTCTTTGCGGGAACACCGAAAGTTGGGCTGAGTGACAGAGCTGATTGTAGGTCCAATAACAAAAGCTTCTGCTTCTTTTCACATTGGGCCATGGTCCATTTCCGTATTTCAGCCTAAGTTCTCTTTCTTTTTCACTTTTGTTTTTCCCAGCCTTTATTTTTTAATTTTAGACCTTGTTAATATTCAGCGAGAGAGTGAAAATAGGGACTGATTTACTTTGGTTACATATATTAAAACATTTCTTTTTTTGTTTGGTGAGTTTCATTTGATCTAGCGAGTATATACCATATTTGTTGTGTCACTTCATTATATGTTGATTCACAAATAGAGAATTTGGAGGAAAATACTAAGGGAGTGTTTGCAACAGCTTTAAAAAAAGCACTTCTCAACTTTTGGCTTAAAAGCACTTATTTACCAAACATTACGAATTTTTACCTTTTCTCGACTTGCGTGTGAAAAGTGTTTTTCTCTTTTCTATTACACAAAAAACACTTATTTTACCAAACACTACCAACTTTTACTTTTCAAAATCATTTTTTTCTCAAACACTATTAACTTTTACGACTAATCATTTTTTCCAAATCATTCCAAAAATGCTTTCTTTTAAGTAGAAGCAATTGCAAACACTCCCTGAATGTTTTGTATGCTTACAAATAGAGAATAAGCACAAACCCATATAAATATGACGATGAGCAACCTAAAGAAATATAATAGTACATTCTTACTTGTGCCAATTAGAATATTATAATTGAATAAATTAAATATAAATATGATGAGATAATGTTGGTAGTGTATTTTTTGCTTAAAAATGAGTCTTCAACTTGATACTTGATACACGTACGACTTCTCAAATTCATCAAACGAGATCGAGTATTTGCACCTTTTCTTGTTTAATTTTAACACTCCGTGAGATGGAGGCATGGAGTGACAAATTAAAGAAAGTGATTGAGTAATAAAAAAACATACGTTACCCGTAGTTGTGGTTCACCGTTCACATACATGTATAATGGAGGTAAAGTGAACGGAAACTTAATATGCATGAGAGAAGAAGAAGAAGATACGGAGTATGTTAATACTTTACGGCTTTACCCGTACCATATGTAGTTGAAGAGAACGGATTGATGATTGAGGTTTGAGAAGCTGATGTACTCCGATACGCGTATCCCGAGTATTTATATTTTTAAAAGTTCAATACTTCTATTAAATAATGGATAAGAACCCAATATGTACATGACGTGAATCGACGAATATCAATATCGGATATGTATCGAATACCGTATCATGATGAAGTATCAGTGCATCATAGGTTAAAACTTCTCCATTCTTGGACCAAACTATGATGTACACTTACAAATACATGGAGAATAAGGACAAACCCATGTAAATATGATGATAAGCAACCTACAAACATCTACTCCCTCCGGTTCACAATGTTGTTTACGCTTTGACTTTTCTACATTTAAGGTGGCCTAATTTTTGTACTTCACTTTCCATTTATACCCTTGATATAAAAAGTAAAGGTAAAGTTAAAAGAAAAGAGGGTAAAAGTAGTAAATAAAGGGGTAATATGAAGTTAAAGCATCCTGACAACATACAAGAGGAGAGAGAGGGTAATTCGTACCCCTCTTAAAAAACACTACATCTTCAAACTGTTTAATTATTCAGATTCCCTCCAAAAGCTAAAAATAGAAACCTTTCCCCCCAAAATTACTTCTACCCTATATATACCCCTCATTTACTCCCCCAAGTACACATGCTTTACTCCCCAACAAAAAATGGAATCTGGGACAGCTCAGTTTTCCTCTTCTGTCTCTGAGCTTCCTGATATGGCTCCCGAATCTGCCTCTGCTGCAACTCCTTTAGCAGATATGCCTCCCTTTGCGCCACACACCGAAGCTGAGCAAGATGACATGGAGCTGGGAGTTCCCCACGTACCTGCAGATGAAAGTGACACAGATCAGAATGCACAGAGGCTTCCAAAAGACTTAAAGCTTTCAAATGAAATGCGAAGAAGCATAATAGACATGCTGTTGGCAAAGTTGATAGATGGAAAACTTCAGAGGGGCATGATCACAACAGCTGCAAATGAGTTCAACACCTCAAGACAAACTGTACACAAACTGTGGGCAATAGCAAAGGCACAACTGCAGGCTGGGCAAGCCATAAATGTGCAGACCAAATACACAGGTAATGTAGGAGCCAAAAAAATTGCATTAGACTTGTCAAAAATGGCTGAAATTCCATTTCATAAAAGGAAAAATATGAGGTCTTTGGCATTTGCAATGCAAGTATCAAAGTCAACTGTGCAGAGATGGTTTAAGAGCAAGCAGATTAAGAGACATTCTAATGCCATTAAACCTCTTCTCACAGCTGAGGGTATGATGAAAAGGTTACAGTTCTGCCTAAGCCATATTATTCCCAGCTCACTTCCCTTTTCCCCAACTTTTCATGATTTTTATGATCATGTACACATAGATGAGAAGTGGTTCTACTTATCAAAAGAAACCACCACATTTTATACCTTTCCAACAGAAGAGGACCCTTACAGAACAGCTCAGTCCAAAAAATTCATACCAAAAGTGATGTTTATTGCTGCAGTAGGAAGGCCTAGAATAGGCCATCAGGGGGAGGTATTATGGGATGGTAAAATAGGGATATTTCCTTTTACTTTTGAAGACAAAGCAAAGAGAGCAAGCAAGAATAGGCCAGCTGGGACCTTAGAGACAAAGGCAACAATGAGGGTGACTAGAGGAGTTATAAAAGACATGATCTTAACACATATTCTGCCTGTAATTAAAGAAAAGTGGCCAGATGCAGAAAACAAACATGTCATTATACAACAAGACAATGCTAGGCCTCATTTACTTACTACTGATCCAGAGTTTGTTAAGCATGGGACAGAAGATGGTTGGAACATAGAGTTGCGTTGCCAACCACCCAATAGCCCAGATTTGAATGTGTTGGATTTAGGTTTTTTTAGGGCAATTGATTCTCTGAAAGATCAGAATGCACCAAAGAATATCAATGACTTGATAGAAGTAGTCCAAAGTGCATTCAATGATCTCACAGCTCACACCCTAAACAAAGATTTCTTAAGCTTTCAATATGTAATGGAGGAAATTCTGAGGCACAATGGGGGAAACAACTACAAACTTAAACATGTTGGGAAGGACAAATTGGAAAGGCAAGGTCTGTTGCCCAAGAATGTCCAGATTGATGAGGAAGTCTATCTCACAGCTAAAGCACACATGGAGGAGCAGATGGCAACAAACACAGTACTTACAAGCAGTGTTGTGACAGTGACAGAGTTCATGGATGAAGATTGTCAAGATCTTCATCTCTGAACTGCCTATCTAAAAAAGACAGGACATGTTTTTTTGCAACTTTTTGTATGTACACAGGGATGATTAAGCAACTAGGTGTACATTTTTTGTATGTACTTCACAATGTTGAAAGTACCTTTTTTGATGTACTTCCTAGATCATTGTTGTACACTAATTATTGTAAGCAAGTCAATCAATGCCAAACATGATTTACAAACAAGGCATCCTACACATTCATAAGTGGGTTGCACAAGTATTTCATCACATTTGAGGCACACACATTTACAACGCACAGACACAGTTTGGGCATACAGAATAGCACATAAGCACTAGGCAACACATGTTTTCAGCCTCAATCACACAAAATAGATTGAGTCATCATATTTGAAAAGCAACAATTTCATAATCAGTACCCCCAATTCATCCTTAGTTTTCACATCATACACCTTAGGCAACAAACATGCAATGACTCAAAAAAAATAAAGATAGTACAGAGACAGAGAATACTACCCGTATAATTAACCCTTTGGAGTATAAGGAGGAGTGTCTGCAAACAGTTCGTCAGCGGAATCACCAACCCCATATGACTCCTCACCCTCAAAATATCTGGAGGTTGCCTCATCCCCTGAGTCCTCCAAGCCATCCAGCCCTTCGAACGTGTCACTGACCAGGTTGGAGCCGTGCTTTTTCCTCAACCGCCAATAAGGATCTGTTTCAGTGGAACAATCACCGAACCGAACGATTACTGGGTTTACCCAAGGCTGCAAAACACATTGCATGTGGAAGATTATTGTTTTTTAAAGAAGGAGGAGTTAAAACTCAAACGTTAAGGGTGTATCATGGGGAACTTGCCTTTTTTTCCAGATCCGAAACTCGAATGGACTTCAAACTTTTCGGATCTGAAAGATGTGGTTCAGATTGGCGGTGGTCGGAGTACTCAAGTGGCGACTTCACCTCCACTGCATCTCCCAGTTGAGTAGAGGTGGCTTTAGCATCCATTAAACTAGAGAGGAACATAGATCAGAAGGGGGGCAACTATGTGAGGACGAGGGGTGCGGTGAAGAGGAGAAGAGATATGGGGTGTGAGGAGGAGAGAAGAAAGACGGTCAGAAGGAATACAGACAGACCGAATTAAGAAAGGCGGTGGGGGTTTAATGCGTTGGGTGGGTGGGTAGTAAAATACGGAGTATGAAAGAGATTAATGCGTTGGGTGGGTGGGCAATTAGCTAGAGGGATATTTATGGGATTTCAGGGGTAAAATATGAAGTGTAAAGATGAATCTGGTACTGACAAAAAAGGAAAGTGTAAAGGAGATTCTGAGCCGGAGGGAGTATAACATAATAATGGTACATTGTTATATGGACCAATTAGAATATTGCAATTGAATAATTTAAATACTATTATAAAAATGATGAAATAACGACTTTGATTCATCAAATGCATGATATGTACATACTACCTTTTTTTAATTTATAGGAGAATTATATGTACAGTACCATTCACCGGCCTTATCAATGATTCAATATTAAGAAATTGATTGATAGGACCTACGTAGTATTATCCTATTTTTATTATGAGAACTAAACGTTATACCCACGGGGGGAAATCCTTATAGAGTATGTAAATATAAGTTACTTTGAGATGTTGTGCTTTCGAAATTCTTAATAATGTAAACATCTCGTGGATGATATGCTTTCGAAATGGAGATTTCCAATCTCAGTATGGGTCGTTGGTGAGTGATGGTAAATTGTTTAAATTCTACCCGAGTTTATGTTGTTTTCATATGCAACCAATAAATAATACTCCGTACCACTTTCGTCTCAAATTCATTTTGCAAAGTCAATTTTTGTTTGATCAAATAGTTTCATTTTATTCACTTAATTAATTAGGATATCAAATTTTAATTAAATTATAATTTGGATTCTTCAATTTTTTAAAAATTTTAATATAGTTTATGAATATATTTATATTTTAATTATTAATAATTGAATTAATTATTCATATGGACAATTTAACTTTAACTTTAATATTGGTTGACAAAAAAATGTTGTTTTTACAAATTAATTTGAAACAGATGGAGTAGTAGTTATGCTTTAGCCATCATCTATCAATTATGATTTTTTGCAAAGAATGTTATCAAATTCCTTATTATATTCTTCATATTATTAATAATGAAGAGGATTAAATTTTTATTGTAAAAAAGAAGTATGAATCATTTTTAAGAACACCCAAAAAGGGTAAATTATACCGTACACCCGGTTGTATGGTTCTCACCGTACAACCGGATATCTTTGCAATTAATTACAACTTCAATGGTTAAGGTCTTCCCTGTTTCGCTGGTCATTCATGTCCTGAGATCGGTGAAGGAGATGCAGACGCCGATTGATTTGCCCGCTCGCTAAAGTCCAGGAGTTTTGATCGTTGCTTGATTGTTGCTCGCTCGTTGCGCTGATGAGGAAGTGCGCTGATGAGGAAGTCTGCTCGTTGCGCTCTAAGAACACTTCGCTGAAGTCATCTCACTGGGCTTGTGTTTTAGTTCGAAGAGAAAGTCTTCCTCCGTATTTTAGTTCTTGGAATCCCACAAATTTCAACTTCTATTTTTAATAATAATAATAACAACAACAACAACAATAACAATAATAATAATATAATAATAGTAATGTATCTTAATATATTTTAATATTGTATGTTAATATTTTCAATTTATTAATTACTAAAATAAGTTTTATGTTATATTGAAAATGAGTATGTTAAAAAAATTAAATGAGCATACACAAATGAAAATTTGAGCCTACTAGACTATTCAAATGAGGTACACAAATGAAAACTTGAGTGTATTGTAGATTTTAATTTTTAAATGAGTTTTTTGAATTTTTGGTTGCTCATTTCATAAGTAATGTATGCTCATTTGGTATTAGTACAATACTCATTTTAAAATGTTGCACATTTTAAACGTATCATATTATGTTATGTTAAACTCGATGAGTATAAAGCCCAAAATGAATGGGCATACATAAATGAGGTTTTGAATTTTTTTATATGAAAACCTCATATAACAAACCAACTAACAAATTCATTAGTGCTCATTTTGTTAGTTACGTATGTTCATCTGATACCGATCTTATGCTCATGTATTAGACTCTTCATACTCAACGTAATAGATCGAATGCTCATTAAACGTTCATTAATGCTCATTCACAAGAAATTGTGGTTTTCATCTCAATAGCGGATGTTTGATGTTCAATTAAAATGTCGTGATGTTCAACTAACAAAACCTTACGATTTTCATATCAATGTACTCTTTGTAGTTATGTATGCTCATTTAGTATTGATTAATGCTCATTTTTAAAATGTCATATCAATTCATATTTCAAAATTATCAAATTACATTAGATTCGCATGTTGAAATTAATAAGAGTGAATTATAGATATAATTTAATAAGTTTTTATAAAAGAAAAAATAAGAAAAAGAAAGAGAATTAGAATATATGAAGCAAAGATCGTGAAACTCATTGTTAACCTCTTAATACTCAATAAAATAGGTTTGATGTTCATTACATTTACATTATTGCTCATTTAGCGGGAGCCGCGATTTTTCACTTCAATTACAAAATTGTCACCGAAAAAAATTTGGCCTGTATTGATTGTTGGACTGTCTCCCTTAGTTAGGCCGGGTGTACGTACACCCGGTGATATGATATACGTACTACCCAAAAAGCTGAAGTGGATCACACATAAAAATGGAAGTTGGATCCTAAACTCAGCCCACAATTATGCATCGCTCCACAGCCCATAAAGGCTGAAATTGCTGATTTTCTGAAAAGAAAACATCAATCTGCAAAGGTTCTTCAGATATTCATCAAGATCATCTCCCTGCTAGGGTTCAAGCAGCAAATAAGCAACAAAATCAACATGAAATTGGCCTCGCTCGATAGCATCCAGAACGCTCACGACGACTCCATATGGGCGGCGACGTGGGTCCGCCCCAACGACGGAGCTCCGCCACTCCTCATCACCGGCGGCCTGGACGAGACAGTGCGACTCTGGGACTCAGACAAGTTTACTCGTGTACGAACCAACACTGGGCATTGCCTTGGCGTCGTTTCCGTGGCTGCCCATCCCACCCGTAGGATAGCTGCTTCAGCATCTATAGATAGCTTTGTTCGTGTCTTTGACGTTGATTCTAACGTTACTATTGCCACTCTTGAGGCTCCTCCGTCTGAAGTCTGGCAATTATCATTCAATCCAGAGGTATGTATGATAGGAAACTCTTCTGTTTTCACTGTTTCGATATGACTTGAGCTGATCTGTCGATACTTCATTTTAGCACGAATTAATGAAATCTGTAATGTAGACAATTAGATTTGATACTATAAGTTTTGCTATACTTCTATTAGGAAAATTTTCATTCCAGATATCGTGGGATGCCCTTATCATTAGAAGGATCATCTATGCTATTTAGTGAGTTTAATTGATTGTATGTGCTTAGTAATGACACCATTTTAATCATAGTTATAGGCATATAATTCTAGTTGCTTTTGTACTTCACAGGACCAAACCCATGTCCGATGTCATCTTATTATTGTCAAACATTTTCTAGAGTGCTGGACACAACCATCAAAGATACTTAGGATCGCTGCATATGAAAATTAGACTACTGGGTTTTGATTTTCAGATTCTGACAAGTAATAATAAGTGATTATTGAAAAATAAAACAAAAAAAAGTTTACATTCTTATGCATTTAAAATAGGTTGTGCGGGTTGACAGATACACATGTAGGGAAACATCAGTTTTAAAATTGCTCTCAATTCTCTTACCTTCGGAGAGCTAGAGAGTTTATTCAAAATATGCGTCAATTTTGTTTGGCTTTCATTCCATTAACATATTTATGACCGCCCAATGAAATGAAAAAATAATGTAAAACGCCTCTCTACAAATAGGCTTTCATGTACTAGGCCAAGCCTTGCCACACTTGGTTTAAAAAAGTGCACTTCAAAGGCGTGAGGCGACCTAAGGAAATTTGTTTATCGCATCTCAAACCCTCAGGCGTGGTAGATTCCAAGAGGCGCGCCTCCGACGATGCCTTTTGCCGCCTTGTGCGCGTCTGAGAGGCAGCCGCTTCTCACGCCTCATGGACTTTTGGCGATTCAAGTTCCAAGTGTATTGGCGATTCAGTTTCTGCTTCTAGATTTTTCGTAGGTCTTATATATTACGAAGGTAAGGTCCCTCAGTCCATTAAACTCTAAGTCTCTCTAGTCTTCTCCCTTGTGTCTTCTGCGTTACTTTGCTTTTGAGTTCCGATTTCTTCTTTAATTCTTCCACTCTGTTTGACTGTCTCGATCGCAGCCTCGCAGGTATGTATTTTATTCTCTTCTACTCTATGTTCTCTTTTATCTCAATTTTTTAAAATTTATAAAATAATTTAAATTAACCTGTTTTATACCTAAGTAGTCCTCCAATTGTAGCAAATTGTTTTTGTTAACAAATATGTAAGATTTTTTTATCATTACCAATTTTATACGGAGTATAATACTATCTCTGTTCCACTATGTTTGGGACAATTCGGTTTACGATGCTTGACCGACGATAAAGTAAACTGATCCCTGTCCGCACTCAAATTATTTTCAGAAAATAAAAATTACATATTTAGAAACTACTTAAAAAACTTTACAAAGTTGCAAAAACCAGAATCAAGTTTGATAAAAATTTGATATATAAAGTAAGAAATTAAGAGTGATTTCTGTTGACCAAGTGTCTGGGACAATCTTAGCGGGATGGAGGGAGTAGTTTATTACAAATTTTATTATTAATTATTTAAATTACTACTTACCAGTTTATCAAAAAATTAGTATTAACAGTTTATTCAACAATTTATCAAAAAATATTACTAGGCAGTAGCCCTCCAATAGTCCAATCAGAGCATATTGTATTTTTTTGTACAATTTTACTCTAAGATTATAAGATAAACTTCAATGTTTGTTATTGTAATGCCTAGAGTTCAGTAATACGGCAGTAGTCATCCAAATTTCCAATACTAGTGGATTGTTTTTATTTAACAAATATATAAGACAATTTTTTGTCATAAAAATTACTAGTAATTA